CTGGCTGTGAGGCTGCTGCCAGACCAGAGCCCAAGAAGACCCTGGGCAGCACATGACTTCCTCCCCCCACGTCCACCCCACTCTTGTTCCAAGGGCAGAGAGGCCTCCTGCATCCAACCCACCTCTTCATGTTCTCTGGGGTTGACACAGCTTTGGCGTAGATCTCCAGGTAGTCCATCAGGGTGCCTGGGGAGGGCAGAACCAGAAGCTGCTCTTTAATTCCCCCTGTGACCCCCTGCCCTCCCCCCCACCCACTCTCTCCATTTGCACAAGGGCCAGCCCTGCAAGACCAGAGCAACGGCAGGGCTTGAGGTGGTGGTGGTGGCTGGTAGGCAAGGGGGGGGGGACAGACCAACCCCCTCCCCTTCTGCTCCTCCCTGACCTCTCTCTTGCCTGCCCTGTCCTTGTAGAAAGGCATCTCAGTGCCACGGAACACACAGGGTTAAAGAGACCCCTTGTTCACCCCACACTCCCCATTGTAAGGAGTGGGGCCTTCTTTCCCTAAGGAGCTTCTGCAGTTTTGGGGGGGCTCCCACCCCCACCCCTTGAGGGAGGTGGGAAGGGGGGGATGAGCTGAGGCATGCTGAGAAGCACCACCGGCTGGGGGAGACCCACCAATAGCCCAAGGCTTGTCTTTCCGGGGTCCAAGGCGGCACGGATCCGTGTACAGGTTAAAGATCTGGTGGCCTTGCTCCATCTCGTCACCTGGTGAAACAGAAGCGTGAGGGGGGTGCTCTCAGGAGGTGCCCTGACCTCCCCCACCCGCAGCCCCTCCGACCGCTTTCCCAGCCCACCTGCAGAACAGTTGTCAAAGTTGAGGTCTCCACAGTAGATGTCAAAGGCCACCACGTCCCCCGGCTGCGCGTTGGCGTCTTGGAACAGCTGTGCCCAAAGCAAGCCCAGGTTCAGCTGGTCGCACCGAATCTCCGCGTCAGCTGTGGGAGTGGGGTGGGAAGACACGGGGCCCAGAGGGTGACGGATCCAGGAAGAAGCGTTCCTCTGCCGCCTCTCCATGAAACCGCGGGGAGACCTTTGTCTGGAGTTGTGCCGTTCGGTGTCACCAGAAGGTGGACGACACTCCACTCTCCTTTCCCTCTAAATCCAAGGAAGCTCCTCGGGCTCTAGATGAGGGCCTGGTGTCAGTCATGGGCTGGACGAGAGGGCAGGAACTGCCCCTTGACCGAGACAACATTAAGCTGCCCCAGTTGGTCAAAAGGCAGATCACGGAATAGGGTTGCAGCTGTGCTGGATGGAGCCCTCCCCCCCCCAAAAAAACACTAAGGTGCACAGCTTAGGGCTGATCCTGGATTCATCCTTGAGTCTGGATTCTCAGGTTTCATGGGTGGCCAGGAGTGCCTTTGCACAGTTAAACCGAGTGTGCCAGCTGTGCCCGTTTCTGGAGGGATCTGATCTGGCCAGGGTGACGCACGCCCTAGAGACTTCCCGGCTGGATGACTGTAACACACTTTATGCACCCTCTGAGCGACGGTCCCAGCAGCCTAGGGCTAGTTAGTAAAAGGGGTGCCCACTACTCTGTGCAGACGTTAACCTGTGGTGGCAAAACAGGCAGAGAGCTTATGAAAGACGGGCAGCCCAGAGCACACGGGGACGGTGGCATCTCCAGTCTGGTGGGGCAGCTGCAGCTCCCCTCCGCACCTCCACCTAGTGCTTCTCTCTACCTCCTCCAGCCCTCCCACCCCCC